TTTCAACTCTTTTCTCGGTGTTTGGAAATGTGGTCAAACAAGGTCTTTCATGTTTGATATATTACATCTTTTTTACCTCCGATATATGTCGAGTACAGTAGCACCAAGGAAAACCGTGAGTTCGTTTTCCGACTCTTTTCCGTAAGCTCCCTCAGCACACTTGAAGCAGAAGAGAAAATCATTGGAAACGGGAACTAACTGATTCCCTGAGATTCAACCTCAAAGTGTAAATGATAACCACAGTAAAACAACAAAACTGCAGTGGACAAAACAGAGCACAATTTAAATTAATTAAAATCAAAAACGCAGATTCATGCGTGCGTTATTTGAAAATGTGAACGTTTTACATCCAGATGTGCTCTCCGAATGAAGCCTACTGATGGAAAGATTATAAAGCAATTTTTTTTATTTGTAAAGAATAATCAATTACTTGTGTACTCTACTCATTTTCAAAGATCTCGCTATAAAGTAGAATAACTCGACGTTTCTTGACTTGGACAAAGGTATATCCAACAATTAGTACCTGGGTAATAATTATATACATCCTCACAACAAAATTGTGGAGAAATTGTGGAGGATATATCACTCATTCGCAACTTAAGTTACATGGCAAAAGTGAAAGTCGAAAAAAGTCAACAAACAAGGGATTGTTTGTTTAAAGACAGGCAATTATTGTGTAGTGTTGGTCAGTTGGAGATGAAATATGAACGGTACCCGAAATTTTTAACTGACCCTGGTCTAGCATTGAGTATTAAGTTTTTTGTTTAACTCTTCCATTAACTTTAGGAAATTCGAAGCCCTTTTCAAATGCCCTCTCGCTTAACGAAGATGTACCCGTCTTGTCTCAATGGTTGTTTACTTACAGTGAAACTAAATGAAGTTTTAACTAATGAAAACACTTTTGTAAAAACTAGCAAGCAGCTTTTAGGACCGTTTTTATTTCATGTCAGACAATGCAGTTTACTACTTCAGTTTGAATTTATGATGTTTTTAGAGCAGTTCTATATAATTTTACAGTTACCTTGAAACCGTTTTGAAGAAAACCAAATTCTAAACATCTGAGCATACAAAATTCGAAAACCAGACTCCTTTCGTAACAAGAAGACACTTCTGTGCAAAGAATGAAACTGCTTTCCTTTGTTTAGAATTTTGCAGATGTGCACATACACAATCCAGTTTGACTTTTACTTTGTTATTTTAATTCATTTTAATACCACAGAGTTTAAAGAAAAGCCATTTTTTATTGTTTTTATTTTCACAAAATACTAAAGTTTCAAACGAGTTTAAAATGAGTTTATTAAAAGAAGACCAAACAAATTAGTACAGCTGCAAAACGAAAACAAACGTGATTCTGATTGGCTAACGGAAAACGAAAAAATAGTAGCTTGCGACATTTTGTCTTCATTTTGTCTTCATTTTGTGTGGGACCACATTCGCACTTTGGTGAATCAGTAGTTATCACATCAAAAGAGGAAAGAGCGGGTATGTACTATAAATTAAGATCCAGTTTGGTCCATTTTCTTTCGCAAAATGTTTGTTTAAACTGCTTTTCAGCCAGTGAGCGGGGTTTAGTTCGAGAATTTCCCGTTTTCGATCTGAAAGACAGTCATGCGTTGCTGTTGAAAATAATTGGAAACGATCAGTAATTCGCGATTGTCGTAAACGTTGCTTCGAGAAAATGAAAACACTGCTCTTAGCCTGCTAACAAAACTAATTTGGAAAACTTGACACTATAAATTTCTTGCTTACAGATATTCGCGAAATTTGAAGAGATATTTGACGGTTTATTTAGGCAATTTCTTTAATTATCCTTGAGATTCGCTCCATCCAAAATCCTCCTTGTCTGTATTTGAAATCAAAAGGTGAATTATGCGAGGTTCTAAGTCAGGCTGTGGACATGTCTATAAGTTTACAGATTTTCCCCTGTCCGTAGGTGTCCATAAACATGAGGAACGTTACCATACTGATGGTCGTTCTTATGGTCTTACCATTCTACGTAAGATGCACCGTTTACTATGTCGATGGGGAAAAAGGCGATGA